TATCCTGTGAGTGTTGTAAGTCAGTTTATGAATTCTCCCTGTGATAGTCATTGGGATGCAGTTGTCCGCATTATTCGATATATAAAATCGGCTCCAGGCAAAGGGTTACTCTTTGAGGATCGAGGTCATGAGCAGATCATTGGATACTCAGATGCTGATTGGGCAGGATCACCTTCTGATAGACGTTCTACGTCTGGATATTGTGTTTTAGTAGGAGGCAATTTTGTGTCTTGGAAAAGCAAGAAACGGAATGTAGTTGCTCGGGCTAGTGCAGAAGCAGAATATCGAGCAATGGTTATGGCAACATGTGAGCTAGTCTAGACCAAACAATTGCTTAAGAAGTTGAAATTTGGTGAAATCAGTCGGATGGAACTTAATGTGCGATAATCAAGCTGCCCTTCATATTGCATCAAATCCGGTGTTCCATGAGAGAACTAAACACATTGAGATTGATTGTCACTTTGTCAGAGAAAAGATACTTTCAGGAGAGATTGCTACAAAGTTTGTAAGGTCGAATGATCAACTTGCAAATATTTTCACCAAGTCTCTCACTGGTCCTCGTATTGGTTATATATGTAACAAGTTCGGTACATATGATTTGTATGCACCAGCTTGAGGGAGAGTTTTAGTTTACAGCTATGTATATAGTGTAGTCTTGTTCCACATTGGAATAGGAGTAGTATGTCCTTGTATAGTATAGCTATAAATAAGGACCCCTCGTATTGTATTGAACATCTAATATCAATAATATATTTTCTCTCGTGCTTTCTCACAACGGCAAAGGTGAATTTGGACGAAAAGTATAACGGGGATAAACATAAACTATTTACCAAAGTAAAGGGATAAATCCGGCCTTTTTCCCATTTATATATTAACTTCAGTTTACTGACTAATAGTCAATAAGACACACAAGTTTCAGATGCAACTTTGAAGATATGAAGATTCTGAGATTTTCGCCTCCTAGTCCGAATCTGAATGCGAAAACAAGGATGAATTTGCTGTTTGTCTATAAAAACAAGGATGAATTCGCGAATTAATCAAGCGAAAAGAAGTTACTATTACCGTTTCTTAATGCCCTATTAATGGGTGAAAATGTGTTTCAGATTATATGCAAAATGGGCTAAATCGGATAAAATCTGAAAATATGAACTATTTTGGTTACAAGCTTGGGCCACTGATACCCAGTGTAAAAATCTCTATAATATATATGGTTGGTTTGATTTTCTATGAGTATTATTATGTCGAGTTTGCTAAATATATATATCGATATATGTGATATTTCTGTTTAACAATTTGACAGGCACAATACCTTATGAGATTGGTCATCTTTATAACTTGGAGCTTTTAGCCATGGATTACAATAAGTTAACAAGCTCAATCCCTTATGTGATTGGTCATCTTTATAAATTGGAATATTTAAGCATGGAAAGAAACAAATTATCGGGCTCAATCCCTTTAAGCATACTCAACATTTCATCACTTCAATATTTATCAATCGGGGAAAACAAGCTTGAAGGACCTTTACCAAGAGAAGTTGGAAATTTGAGTATGCTTCAAGTACTTGATTTTTCAATGAATAACCTGACAGGTATGGAAAAAATAACTAATCCATTGTCATTTTAGAGTTTCAGTTTTTCGAATACTTCTACTGATCCTAATCTTACTAAATTTAATTTTGCAGGTGTAATTCCAGATGGAATCAGTAACCTTCAAGAGTTGGAGGACCTCTCATTGTCTTACAATAATTTTAATGGCTCAATCCCTATTGATATCTTCAATATCTCATCTCTTATATATCTTCAGCTCGCAGGTAACCACATTTCAGCTAATCTTCCTTCCACTATAGGCCATGGCTTACCTAATGTTGAAGGAATTCATCTATCTGGAAACAACATTAGTGGTGTTTTACCTAGTTCAATCTCAAATATGTCTAAGCTTATGTATCTCGAACTCTATCGGAATGAACTTACTGGTTCAATTCCTGAATCTCTAGGAAATTTAAGACTTCTGGAAGTTCTTAGCTTATCCAGTAACTCCTTCAACAGTGAATTAAGCTTTATTACTCCTTTGGCCAATTGTAAATACTTGAGAAAATTGATATTGTCTTCCAATCCCCTAAATGCAATGCTTCCAAAATCCATCGGCAACCTTTCTTCTCTTGAAATGTTTTCGGCGACTTGATGTAACCTCAAGGGCCATATTCCAAATGAAGTCGGAAATTTGAGAAATTAATCTTCTTTGGAGCTGGAAGATAATGACTTCAATGGAATTGCCCGACAACCATAAGTTCATTGAAAAAACTTCAACGGCTTTCACTTGGTGCAAATAGAATAAGTGGTCCCTTTCCAATTGTTTTATGTGAGCTATCCAACTTGGGTTTGTTAAACCTTTCACAAAATCAAATGTGGGGAAGTCTTCATAGTTGCTTGGGGGATATGACTTCTATAAGGGAGGTTTCTCTTGATTCAAATAACTTCACTGCCATAATACCTTCAAGTCTATGGACTCTCAAAGACATTTTAAAGCTGAACTTGTCTTCTAATTTCTTCAATGGTTCTCTACCGCTAGAAGTTGGAAACCTCAAGGCTGCAATACTTCTGGATCTTTCCTGGAACCAAATCTCAGGAAACATTCCTAGTACATTAGGAAGTCTACAGAGATTGACTCAACTGTTTTTGGCTCATAACAGAATTGAAGGATCTATTCCTGAGACATTTGGAGGGCTCAAATCTTTGGAAGTATTGGATCTTTCGTATAATAATTTGTCTGGTGTGATCCAAAAATCTTTGGAGGCACTTAAGTATCTTCACTCTTTTAATGTCTCATTTAACAGGTTACACGGAGAAATTCCGAATGAAGGACCTTTTGTTCATCTCCCTTACCAGTCTTTCATGTCGAATGAAGGATTGTGTGGTAACTCTCAACATCATGTCCCAACTTGTCCTTCTAATTCAAAGAATCGTTCTAGTTCAAAGAAAAGGAGACTGATGTGGATTGTTCTTGCATCTTCACTTATCCTTGTAATAGTGCTTGCTTCAGCAATAGTTTTCATATTGATGAGATGTCGGCGTAAAGCAGTCAACGCTGAAGATGAGTCGTTGCCTGAGGTAGCACCACAAAGAATTTCTTACTATGACCTTCAAAGAGCAACTCAGGGCTTTGATGGAAATAACTTTGGAAATAACTTGCTAGGTAGTGGAAGTTTTGGTTCTGTTTATAAAGGGACATTGGCAGATGGGATGATAGTGGCTGTCAAAGTTTCAATGTACAGATGGAAGGTACATTTCAAACCTTTGATAGAGAATGTGATATCTTGCGGAATCTTCGTCACAAAAATCTCACCAAGATTATTAGCAGCTGTTGTAACTTGGATTTTAAAGCATTGATACTTGAGTACATGCCAAATGAGAGCTTAGACAAGTTGCTGCATTCTCGAGATTATTGTTTAAATATGATGCAAAGATTGAATATCATGGTCGATGTTGCATCTGCTCTGGAATATCTCCATCATGGTTACTCGGTACCGGTTATTCATTGTGATTTGAAGCCTAGCAACGTGTTATTAGACAATGACATGGTGGGACACCTGACTGACTTTGGCATAGAAAACTTTTAACTAAGGAAGAATCCATTGCTCATACTACAACCTTTGCCACAATCGGTTACATTGCTCCAGGTGAATACCTTATTTAACTTGTAACAGTATTGTGGATTAGTGCATTTTAAGTTTATTTGCTAACGTATTTTAAGTTATATTTTTTAGAGTATGGTATGGAAGGCCTTGTATCCAAGAGGTCTGATGTTTATAGTTATGGCATCATGTTGCTGGAAACTTTTACAAAGAAGAAATCTAATGATGAAATGTTCGTGGGAGACTTGAATTTGAGAAGTTGTGTGCATAATTTGCTTCCTGATGAGTTGGATCAAATTATAGATGCTGACTTACTAACAGTAGATGAAGAGAACTTAAGTCGAAAGATGCAATGTGTGGCATCCATCATAGAGTTAGCCATGAATTGCACAGCTAATATTCCAGTGGAAAGGATGAACATGATTGATGTTGTAGCAGCACTGAAAAAGATCAAACAAAAGCTTTCTTCCTGTTATTGAACGACCCAGCACCATGACATCGGGTACTTTCCATATCCCTTTTGGAAGAACAAAAAAAAAGTAGCCAGCTGTATATTTCACTATGTACCATTTAACTATTAGTAGTTGTTCCTCCATTTCGAATACACTCCTATTCACTGTCTACGAGATTATGTTTAACCTGTTTACGTGAAAGAGTTGTCGAAGACATTACTATGGAGAGACGGAATGGTAAAGTTCAAGAAATGGTATGTTATGGTCTGAATGTTAATCAAGTACTATGGTTTTCCCTGTGTGCAGGAAATATGGTTTCTTATCAATGTTGCGCTGATGAATTTGTGCAATATCTTGTGGAGTTAATCTCCTTATGTTAATATTCTCATATGGAGCCACCTCCGAGTATTTCCTTTTATTTATTGTAAAGGCTGTCCTTTTAGCTTTTCCCTGTTTCATTAGAGGTGGACTTTTGGTTTTGTTCTCTTGTTTACTTGGTTGCTGCCAATTTCCAGCTCTTGTAATGTGATCTATGTATTTTGAGCTGTACATTCCACTGCTTTTTGTGGGAATTTTGTAATAATATGAATTAATGGATACGTCCTGCATCAAGATGACTCGTCTGCATACTGTTTCAATGTTTGCCATTTTACTCCTATTTGTCATATTGCAGAAAAGTATCATAACTGTTTTTGCAAATGAACTCTTTCATTGGTGCTAGAGTATTTATTTTATTTGCTTGCTTTAGAACATATTGCTGACGGCCTTAAACTGTCATTGGCATTTCTTGCTACAGAAAATTTATCAATTAAGTGCTCCATATAGAAACCAATGAAAGGTTGAATTTGCTCTGGGGTTGTAGTTTATTTACTATAATCGTTTGCCTTATGGGTTTTCCTTCCACATATTTACCATAGTTGTTAGCCTTACGATTCACATGAATATAAAAGATGCTTCTTTTTTTCCATCAATATAAAAGTTGCTAGAAATGAATTAATTTTTCTTATGAGCACATAAGCTCTGGGCCTTGAGTTCTCTTCAAGTCGAGTGTAGTTGCTTGCTCCCTGCTACCTGTTACAGATTCATCTATTACAGAGTCTGAGGTCCAGGTTATTTCACAATTTTGATTTTCCATCTTTAAGAGCATTTAGTTCAGATTTATATATTCTTGGAATGTGCATTAGTTATCTAAGCGATTATATATGAGTGCTCGTCTGCTGTATATTTTATTACTATATGGTTTGCTCTTTGCTCCACTTTATTATTGTATTTTGACTATCAACTTTATCAAACTATATATGAGGTTACTTGTCAGTTCACTGTCTAAAACCAGTAGCATTAATCTCTACATCAGATATGTTTACAAACATTTATAATCACCTACATTTTACTCCTGTTAGAATTATGCGGAATTGTGAGGAAGATGATGAGAAACTTGGCTCTTTTGTTTCCTTAGGCCACCTGACAATGAGCCGCAAATTACACAATTGGAAGAGGATATGAAAATGATCCATATCATTTGATGTGCAAGTGCAGCAGCACTAAGACACCATTAACATATCATATTTCAATGAACTTCTCTTTCAGTAATCAATGTTGAACTTCAGTGCCAAATCCATTCCCTTCCCCCCTCATATGTCACCTTAGACCGAGTTGAGCTTTAATCCGGATATACACAGAGTGCTATACTTCATTACTCTCTTATTGCTCTCACCTGATAAATATAAGTACGTATATACTATCATATATGGGATTCATTTGGTGATTCTTTTCCATTTGTTTTAACCTTTCAGATGATAACTACAGGAAGTTCCTTCCAACAATGAATTTGAGAAGCAGATAGGACCAGAGGTTATTCCTCCATAATGATTTTCAAATGGACAGATAAAGTGAATTGGGCAGCAAGCTATGAAAGGAAGTGGAAGAAGCGAAGAAATTGCTCTTTGTCCAAAGAGTAGTTAAATTTGCTTGAATTGCAACGAGTTATTTGATTTTTTTTTTTTGACAATTTTAATCTAATTGCAAAGACTACAAGTATTCTATTTTAGTAGGCATTTGGACATAAGAATTGTAAAATTCGAAAAAACAGTGAAAATTGTATTTGAAATTTAGAGTTGTGTTTGGACATAAATTTCAGTTTGGGTTGTTTTTAAAGTTTTGTGACTGATTTGAGTGAAAATTTTGAAAAACAGTTTTTGCAGTTTTTCAAATTTTCGAAAATTTCCAAAATACATTTTCAAATGAAAATTGGAAATTTTATGAACAAACGCTGATTTCGAAAAAAAATAATTTTTTTTTTTTGAAAAAATCTTCCATCAAATTTTATGTCCAAACGGGCCCTTATTTTAATTGTTAAGATTACAAATATTCTATTTTATTCAACAAGTAAAGCAAATCGGGTGTTTTATTTTCATAATGGGGACATGACTTATGGCTTATACTCTTTTATTGTCTCAAGGCATGTCACCTCTTGTCTTTTCCTTCACTTAACTATAGACTCTGTCATCATGTCATATTTTGATTTAGCGTTATCACCCATATATCACATCTTACTCATGATGTTTCATTTACTCTCTTCTTATTCTCTGGATAATATTTTTGTCTATCACTTTATTGTGAAAACTTCAACAAAACATTCTTTCACTTATAGCTCCACTTGCTTCATCTCACTGGCTCTTCGGAACGCCTAACATTCTCTCTCCTTTTTTTTCTAGAGAAGGGAGTCAAACTAAGGTAAATATTTATCCCTTCTAGGATTCCACTGTCTATCTTCTGAAATTTCTGAATATTCTATTGTTCATATCTGACTGTACTACTCTAGAGTGCATTATCCGGGTGTCTCACAAGGAGAACTATTACCATATTTGCAATATCCTTTGGAAATGTGAGCTAATGATAACAATCCATCCACAATTTTGGATTACTCTAACCCCAGTTGGATCCTGATATCTCATCCTTCTCTTAAACTATATTTGTTAGCTCCCATAGGATATAATTGATGTGGTCAATTGTATATATCTTTGTTATTGTTGAAAGTAACTCAGAATGCTTATATTTCTCTGCGAGAATTGTAAATATTGATAATCTTCACTAACTGGGTACCTCGTGCTCTTCTTCATCTTGTTTTTTTTACTTGTCGAAACTTGTATCTACCTTCTGATTCTCTTATTTCTTTTTACCATATAGGTAGATAGATATTCTTACCTTAGGGATCCTTATCAAGAAGCTTACACATCTTAGTACACACATGATCTGCTCAAGACCTCACATTTACTCAGCATAAGCATGATGCAAAATCGAGTTCCTCTGACTTAACTCTTTCACAACCACATTCAATCTCTTACCAACTGTCTTTCTGGACGTAGGTATCATTGTATTACGAATAAAATAAAATTTAGAAGTTTGAATTCTTACAACTGAGCTCTACCACACGATCTAGAGAAAGAAGAAAGAGTGACAGTCCTAAATACCATGTAGCCTCCTGCTTATAAGTGTGGTGCACAACACACCCATAAACAAGACTCTACTAGACACGGCTTATAGACCCTAGGATAGAACTGCTCTGATACCACTTTTGTCACGACCCAAACCGTAGAGACGCGACGGGCACCCAATGCCTAACTCAACCGAGTACCAACGTAACGTATCCTTCTTATCATACTATCATGGGTAAATGAACCGGAAAGGCCGTCATGAGATAACTAGAATTAAACATAAAAGAATACTCGACATGGGATGACCCAACATGATATAGAAGCTTATGCATGCGACATAGGGGCCTATAAGGCCGACATGATCATTTGTATACTCAAAACATCGGTCGACTAGGCCATATAAGTATCCATATACATGGCATTTGTCTACAAGCCTCTATGAGTACATAGATGTCATAAATTTTGAGATATGGCCCCACCATACCAATCAATATATGTCCAAATCATACTGACCAGATAGGCAACTCCGGAGCAAGTGGAGTGCACCAACACCTTCCGCTGAGCTGATAGCCTACTAGGAGGACTCTCAACCTGTCTTTCAGGACCTACGGGCATGAAACACAGCGTCCTCATGCAAAAGGGATGTCAATACAAATAAAGTATCGAGTATGTAAAGCATGACAATAGTATATAAAAGACATGAAAGAAACAAGGAGTAAAGAACTCAACCTGTAATTCTGAATCTCTATGAATCATGAAAAATTTATAATGTCATGCATGTGCGTATAAATGTCATACCATGCATAGGTATATGCGTACATAACATCATCAAGCCTCTGAGGGCATCCCATCATATCATCTCAGCCACTGTGGGCGAAATCATCAACGTATACCAGCTGATCAGGTGGTGGTGCGTATATAACGCCATAACCTTTCCCCATATCCCATATACATATAATATACAAGTATATAACGCCATCTGGTCATGGGTCAATATATATGTATAAATGAATGCAATGCATAATGAAGTAAATCAATAAGATCTCTCGGAATATCATGAGACCCATGAACAAATGATATGATAGCAGGAGATATGGGGAGTTAAGAACATAGGCAACACTAGTACTTCTAGGAATAGAATCATTTGTGAAAGTTGCGTGCTTGCTCGTTTCGTCGTATCATATGCATCATGCCAAAAGGAAAGAAGGGATAACCTTAACATACCTTAACTCCATTGAGTCCTTAATACCTTCCAAGCAATTTTTCAAACAACTCAACTCAATCTACCATAGCATAAGGAGATTCAAAATCAGTGTTGAGTAAAGGCTAAGTCCGCAACTTAAACTAGTAGCTCGTTTATGTAAATTTGGGCAGCATCTCCCCTGTAACAAGAATCTCCTTGAATAACATATACCAACAACAATGACCAGAGAAATCCAGCAATATATAATTATCAATAACAAGACACTATATAACAACAACAAGTCACAACTACTTCACGACGAGCTACAAGCTCAATTGGAATCAGTATACCCCACATCACCCCTTATAGACTTCTTAATTTAACTTACTAGTATCATTAGCAAGATAATG